CTGTCGTTAAACACCCACTTTCTCCTCCCCTCCCCCCCCTCTCATATTTTACTTTTTTTACGTAAATCTACAATTTTATTAAGACAGAGGCAAGTATTATCCCACCACTGTTATATCTGTATACCGACCACTATTTCTGAGTATTAATTGATTTATTTCTATTTTTTTCTTTCTTTCAGCATGAATGGAGACCATCTTTTCTCACAAAGTTGTTCTTCATATCTGCTCGTCATTGTGAATTCCTTCAAGAGTATGTTCTACCTCTTCCAGGCTTCATTTGATTCTGGTTCATTGTGTTTCTTCTTCTTCATTATATTATCATGTTGATCATCGCAGTTGAAGAAAGAGGACTGGGTTGCTATGGTGTTGCCTTAAATGGATTATGCTCTTTTGTAATAAGTAGTTATGTTATACCTGTTGTTCAACAAGTTTCTATATATTGTATACCCTTTCAAGTTTGTGTGCACTGTACTCATTTTTGCTGCTGTTTGAGTAGTAAAGAAAGGAAGGGGGCGGAGCCTGCCACCAAGCGGAGTGGACGTGAGTTACATGAGCTCCTACCTTGCGGGCAAAAAACGGAGAGATAGCGGCAGCTGCAAAGCCTATAGACATACCAGGGTGCACTACCCATGTTGGGGGTGCACCATCGAAGCGAGGGACACAACTCCGACGCCCATCAGGGCCGGGGGCACTGAAAACCAGGTGCGGCCTACAGGAGTTTGAGCTGGGGCAAGACAGCTGGTCTCCCCGACCTCGGAACTCCGGAACGACTCGGCAAACACCCTACCTCCCCACACCCTTTGGACCAGTGGGGGTTATCCCAGTCCCCACAAGCCACACTAAGCAAACCTGACAACATATCAACTGGCCATGCAGCATACCGCATTGTGGAGGCACAGCAAAGATGGCGGCCCAGCACAGGCACAAGCGATCACTGCAGCCCATGGAGGCGTTTGACCGGCTCTGTAGAAGTTTTGGACAACACTCCGCAACCGCGGAGCGACTCACTATCAAGCGGTGAGCAGTGGCCCCATGTATCCACCCAGCCACCCGGCGCCGCCACTATAATTCACTGCCGCAAGCCCCCAGTGCAGCTACTCGTCGGAACAAACAAAAACAAGCAACAAGGCGGGAAACGGCGCCAAGGTGTACGGGCACAAGCACTCGCTCCCACACACGCAGGAGCTGGATTACTACACAAGCCCCACACGCACGCAGCTCACCTGACCCAAGAACCAGAGTCCAGCACGGCATATATCTGCTATCTACGGTCACAGCCACCAACCGGGTCGCTGTGCAGGGGTCCACCCCACCGCCTAGCGACTGAGCAGAATCGCAGCAAAGAGGCGCCATTGAAGCCGCATGCCTTCACGGACTGTGCCCGCAGAAAAGCCTTGACCGCCTTCCCAGGTACGCAGTCAAGGCCTCCAGAACGGGAACTGGCTAATGCAGCCCGGACTGCTTTGTTATGTGGCCCACAGACTACGATCCTGCTCATAACGCAGAGACGCTCTCTCTCTCCACCACTGAAGGCAACAAAAGTTTACTGGTTTACAGTGTGTGACCAAACAGCCCATTATACTGTACCCATGCTAGCCAGTTATATTTTCTAACCACTATGTACATATGGCCTATTGAGTTTAGCTGTTCAGTTGACCGACATGCTACTGATCCACTATATGTTGAGTGTAAGCAGCCCATGCCTTGAATAACAGTCAGTAAGATCTGACTAGATAGCAAACACCCCTCCTATCTATATAATTGTGTTTAACCATATGCATTTTCTAGTTTATTCTCACTAAATAAAAGCTTAAGGAGTACAACCAACCTGCATAGTTAGGCAAATATCCGCAACTCATACATGTGGCCCACTAATACCTGATTAGCCTGCTTAAAGGACCACTATAGTGCCAGGAAAACATACTCGTTTTCCTGGCACTATAGTGCCCTGAGGGTGCCCCCACCCTCAGGGACCCCTCCCGCCCGGCTCTGGAAGGGGGAAAGGGTTAAAAACTTACCTTTTTCCAGCGCTGGACGGAGAGCTCTCCTCCTTCTCTCCTCCTCCATTCCTCCTCCTGGGCTGAATGCGCACGCGCGGCAAGAGCTGCGCGCGCATTCAGCCCGTCGCATAGGAAAGCATTTACAATGCTTTCCTATGGACGCTTGCGTGCTCTCACTGTGAAAATCACAGTGAGAAGCACGCAAGCGCCTCTAGTGGCTATCAATGAGACAGCCACTAGAGGCTTTGGGGGAAGGCTTAACCCATTAATAAACATAGCAGTTTCTCTGAAACTGCTATGTTTATTAAAAAATGGGTTAACCCTAGCTGGACCTGGCACCCAGACCACTTCATTAAGCTGAAGTGGTCTGGGTGCCTAGAGTGGTCCTTTAATGGAGTATAAATGTTTACCTTTATCAAAAACGCAATGCCACATACCTTTAGCCTTAAGCACAACTAATACTGTATGCATATATAGCATAACCTTTTCCTTACAAACTACTATTGAATCATAGCCTGTTTTCACACTATAAAAAAATGTGTTGTTTTACATGCCACAAAATGTATTGCTTCGTAACTGCTTGCAGCTGCTGTCGTGGCTCTGCACGCTTGTTTGTCACTTTATGCACACGAAAAATAAAGAATTTAAAGAGTAGTAAAGAAAGATAAAGCATAACGTGAGCCTCCTGATTTAATACAATTGTGACTTTGTCACTAAAGTCAGAAAAATCTAGAATTATATTAAATCTAGCAGTACGTTGGTTATGTTTGTTTGTTTTCAACATTAAATACATATTTATCTGTAAAAGGTGAATTCCATGGGCCTTGTATATCCAAATACTTTAATTACCCCAGATTTGCATCCTGTTGCATGTACAAAATACAGCAACACCCCACATGTGTACCAGTCAGATTTGGATTAGCTATCATTTGAAATGCCTGAAATGCCAAAGGAGCTATTTGATGAAGTGACACTACCTATGTCATTATTTGTACTAACCTCACACTTTAACACTATTTCTAACCCCAACACTATCTAACACTAATCCTACTATTTATACACTATCGAACCTTAATTACCCCTTAAAACTTTTTTTTACATAACTTTTAACAATTGCATTACTTCAAGGAGATGCAAATTACATTCGACAGATGTTCAGTGAATGAGTATTTGGTAATTCCTCTGTCTGTTTGGATAAATAGCTGTTCCTTTTAGCATTTTTGTTGTTGAGTAATCGTATATCAATACATGTTCAGAGGGTGAGGTTGAGTTGCTTAAGTTAGCTATGTACAATCTATTGCCCATTGGTTTTTAACCTAAATACTTATATAGTTTAAGGATTTTTTGGTACACAAATTAGGAAAGAGAGCTTCCCTAGAGTTAGTAAACCATTTTGCCTGTACAAAACGGTGTGCTATACAGGGGCGTTGGATTTTCTTATTAAAAACTTTTCTCTCTTAAACAATGGATCGCTGTATAGTCATGGTGCTCCAGGCCTTGGGGTTGGCCACAACTCTAGTGACAGATTTAAAGTAGCAAAAAGGATTCAGACACTTAATGTGTTAAAGCTTGAGAGTTTTTAAATGAAGCACTACACAAGGCAATCACGGTGTGATAAAGGTCATGGTTTGTGAAAATTGTGGCTGATAAGTTGCCTTATGTAATGCTGTATTAAATGGCTGTCTAGGTTTAACACAATGAGTAAACAGGGGGCTGGTTGTAATTACCTGAATATGCATAAATAGGGTGCTGCTGGGTTACCTGAATATGCATAAATAGGGTGCTGCTGGGTAAGAGCTAGGCTGGTAGTGTAGGACCTGACAAAGATAGGGTACATTGACGTTGTGGCAGGCTTATGCAATGTATGACCATATAATGTAACTAAACCCCCATTATTTTTTGCCTGGATTAGACAATCTGTCAGCACTGAAGTTGCTGTTTAGGGGATAATGGAGTGCGCTGGATTTTCTTTTTTTTATTTTAACACAATGAGTACCTGGACACATTTTGCTTCTTTCAACCTAAAATTTAAAGCATTATTTTGGTGATGTATCAAAATAATAAGTAACGCTCCATTGGGAGTACATATGCTGGCTCCATTCTCTCTGCCTGGACCTCTGAGCCTATCTTGTGTTCTATGATTGAACCCTCAAAAATTTCACAAGAATTTACACATTATCAGGTTGCAGATAATTGGAGAACTGCTGTGATTTTTATCACTTATATGGCAAAATCTCTTTATTAAAATCAGTTTGATAGGAGCTCGGAGAGATGGAATATGTCTCCGTCAAGCTCGGCTTCTGTACGTTGTGGTGTTGGCTCTTTTAAAGACACATTTTTTTATTTATTCAAATATTAAGTCAAATGTGTAAAACATTAGTACACACAGAAGTAGTGGTAGGAATAGCACAATAATCCATAAAATGTGGCTCAAATCTAAGGTTTTTCTCTTGAATTTATTAGTTTGAAATTGAAATGAAATAGTTAACCTAATTTGTGTATTTTTCTGAATTTCTTTAGTCTGTTTTGCATAATGTCTTAGTTATAGCATGTCTGTTTCTTAAAGGACCACTATAGTGCCAGAAAAACATACTAGTTTTCCTGGCATTATAGGGTCTCTAGGTCCCCCCCCACCCTCCTCCCCTCCTCCTCCTTCTCGTCGTCATCTATGAAACTGCTATGTTTATAGAAGAAAGGGTTAATCCTAACTGGACCTGGCTCCCAGACCACTTCATTAAGCTGAAGTGGTGTGGGTGCCTAATGTTGGTCTTTTAATACTGTAACTGAACATAGAGAAAAAAAAGATTTTAATTTACCAAGCAAACTTTAGCTAGTCCTACGTGACTGTACTGCATCATCTGTGCTCGTGTTTACCAAAATATTCACTGAATAAGAATCCAGACATGTCTTTATTCTGTGAAATGTAATTTTATATTTAAGGCAACAAAATATATAACCAAGATTTGTATAATGTCAATCCCAAAATCAAACATAGTCTTCCTAACAGTAGAATAAATATCAAGTAAAGGTGTGAAATATGAAGCAGGAAAGAAAGATTATATTTAAGGGTCATTGTTCGAGGGACATTATGGGATTTCATGACATGTCTACCTGTCCATGGGGAATGGATCTGGGATAGTTTGTTTGTTGTAAGAATTTTCTGAATAACATTTTCTGCTTGTTTCCTTCCAGTTCTCATAGTGGTGGTGTTCCTGGGAATGTCAGCCAAAGGGAATCCCATGCCCAGGTCAATAGTGGGAATCTGCCAGCTGGTTCACACAACAGTGCGTCAGTCCCACTTAATCCAGGAAAGCCGGGCGGTGAGATCTGAAACGGAATAAACGGATTGAGCCGATCCTACATAAAGAACTTGAAATAAGTCTTTTAAAAAAACAAAACAACTAAACTGCCAAGAAACAGAATAGCACTTCTGATGATTTGTAATCAATTGATACTCAAGTACATCTCATCCTCAGAAAGAGCTTGACAATAGTACAAGGAGTCAGAGCAGCAAACAACACTGTTTTCTGCACAAGAGGCGTGAGACCAAAACAAACAGCACTCTGAAAAATGAACATGCACGTTTGTCTAACATGCAGCATACTTAGGTGTGAGAGTTATGAGAATACTACCACAGTCCTCTCCCGACCAGCCCACCCAGTGGGGATCATTTACTAAACTAGGAACTTTGTAGAGTAGTAAGGGGAAGCAGATTTCAGGACAAAACAGCCAAAATTAAACCATTTTCCAACTTTGTTGGCAGCTATTTCACTCTATAAATGTGTCATTTGTTTGCGCTCTTCAATTCCCAGATTAGTGAAATCTTAATTTCTCTTAAAATTACACCACTGAATAAACTGTTGAACATCACCCATAACTGGGAACTCATTTCTGATGTTTTACTCTAATTACCAATGGTGTTTGTAATTCTGTCCATTCATGACTGAGACCTTCTTGGCACGTTTGCAATTTGTATCTTCCCATAAGTTTATGTTTATTCTTTAAGTGCGCCCATACATACACTATAACAGGTTTAAGAGATAGATAGGGCTGTCTTTGGATACTTCATATGTATATGTAACACAACACTAATTATGTTGAAAAAAAATGTAAAAAATTAAAATGTGGAAAAATATGAAAAAATAAATACTTTTTTTTCACAGATTTGTGCACAAGATAATCTCCACACAGATAGTGGACCTAAAGAAATAACTTGAAATAGATTCACATATTAGTCCTAATTGTGAAATTATCTCATAATTCTAGGCTTTCAATATTTTCTTTTAAGAAATATGGATAATAGGTTAAGGATTGAAATGTGGTTTTAGAATAATAGCCACTACACAAAAGTACATATTTGTAAATATAGACCCACAATGGTATTTAAGTATGAGAATTTTGACAGTCTTCATGAAACCATTTCATAACCAACCCAGCCAAAACTGTTGGATATATTTCATTTTTTGTGTGCATTTTTCACACACATTTCATTTTCAGATTAGTTCCACATTCCACTTATGGTGAGAAAATAGTGGAGGTCATTTCTAAATGATTCCCTCTCTGGTTATTAGGAGGTCCTGATAAATGTTACCTCTACAATTCTATAACTTCCACCTTCATTTTTAACAGAAACATATTGAATGGTTACCATTAATCTGTTTTTTTTCTCTGTCTGTTACAGTCATTATTACCAGTGCTTAGGGTCACTATAGTTAGCTGTATTAACAAAGTATTTTGCAACACCAAAAGTAGAGAATAGTGACAATACATAAATGTGTTTTCCAGTATTAATAGCAAGGATAGGCGAAGTATTTTTGCTCGTTGACACATGATAAACCTGAGACATGCTGTGTTACATGTGCTCTAATTGTACATTTCCATTTAAATTTTAATATGCTGGGGGTTTTTTGCATTAAAAAAACAATACAATTATTCACCAAAATATAAAAAAAAATCCCCAAATAAAAAGTAACCTGCACCATTTGTCAAGGGTTCAAATATAAAAAAATATAACATCAAATATAAGTTAAATTTTGTATTGTAGAATATTTAGCAGTTACCTATTTTACTCATTGCGAAAGGTAATAATGAAGTAAGGAGTGCATGATGGGGATAAGACAACTTCAGCATCCTGAATATAGAATAAGACAACAAAAAAACCTAAAACAAATAAACAAGATAGAAAGTTAGAGAGTGGAAGGGATGTGTTCTAATGATTTTGACTTCCTGAAGTAAAAAAGGTTAATGCCAAAGTAACTCACCACTTGTGTTCCAGATAGCACTGTATGCGCCACTGGATCCGTTCCTCACAAATTCATTGACATAAGATTTCGGATCAATTCCTGAGGTCAGGATGTCGCTTAACAATGCTATGTAGGCAATAGCCAGACGAAGTGTGTCTATCTTGGAAAGGCGCTTTTCATAGGGAAATGTGGGGACTCTGTTTCTGAGCTCCTCAAAAGCAGAATTAATGCTAAGCATTCGCCTCCTCTCCCGGACGTTTGCTGCCTGTCTGAGCACTTTGCCTGGGACGCTTGGACAACTACATCCTTCAGTTGAGATGTCCCCTTCTATGTCAAGGTTTGCCATGGGAAATGAAATGTCAGGGCTCAGTTGGGGCAGTAGAGGTTGAGGGGGCAAGGGTCCTGCTGAGGCTATAAAGTCCAGTAGGCAGTGGTCCAGCACTGACTGCGACTCAAATGTGTGGTCTATTTGACTCCACAATTGACTTTCATCTAACTCTTGTGTATCCCATACAATCTCCTCCATCATATCTGAAGTCACCTGTTTACACAGGTTATTTAATCTAACACTGATAAGAACAATCTGAGAGGATCTGCTGCCTGTTGGGTTTAAATACCCTTTACATTCTCTCCCAATTCTCTCTCTGCCCCTTACTTTCTTTGTTTTATTCCTTCTAAGCTAACTACAGATTAAACAATGCTTTGGTTCCTCAATGAAAACTCATTTCTTTTCTATGGACTTTCTCTGTCAAAGAATACACAGGGTGCTCATGATATGGGCAGGGAGTGTAAGAGTTTAAACTTGAGTGTTTTTTGGGTAGCAGAAGGAGGGAGGCCTAATTTAATTAATCTAGACACTTAACAGTCTGTCAGGAACATATGATGTTTTGTGTCTCATTAATTGGGATCACAGCTTGTGCTCTTGTGGACATTGTGAGTGACACCCAACACTATGCAGTAATTCCATGGAGGTACACAGATATCAATATATACTACAAAGCATGTCAAACTAACTATCGGTCATCCTCAACTGGATATCTAGTCATTCTGATGCTATTTTTATATTTTAGTGGCACTTTATATTACATTGTTCTTACTATTTATTTATATGACTCTTAAATGGCTCCTATATTGTTCTTAGTATTTATTTATATAGCCCTTTGGATTTACTGTATAGCCTATGCTAAAATGCATATGATAGCTGATCGGGATATTATATAGTTTATGATTTAGATGGCTGTTCTGTTTGCATTGCTATTAAACATATTTCTTAGACATGTGCAATTGGTTTCGTTCCGAATGTACAATCGGACAAATTTTGTGTAATTCGGACATTCGGATGCGTCCGAATGTCCGAAGTTCGGAAGTGAATGACATTGGTCCGAATTGTTGAAGTGCTTCAGATTTCTGAATAGTGGCAAAATGAGAGAAGGAGGGAAAATTATGTGAATGATGACAGGAATCTTGACCAATAAACTAATTCCTGGCACTGGTAGCCCTATAGCTGTGTAAGTGGTTGTGGTGGCAATCCTGGCACTGGGAGCCCTACAGATGTGTAAGTGGTTATGGTGGCAGTCCAAGCACTGGGAGCCCTATAGATGTGTTGGTGGTTATGGTGGCAGTCCGAGCACATACATCAACAGCTTCCAGTGCCAGCTAGGCTAAAAATACTCAGCCATGTATGTCTGTGTGTGTGTGCCTGCTAGTGAAAAAGCTTGTGTTTGTCAATGAGCAAACTTTTCTGTAGTGAGCATGTGTGTATCAGTGAGCTTGTGTGTCAATTAACTTGTATTTAGTGAGCATGTGTGTGTCACTGAGCTTGTTTGAAGTGAGCCTTGTGTGTCTAAAAAACTGAGTTTGTCTGTAGTAAGCTTGTGTGTGAGTCAGAGAGTTTTGTCTGTCAGTGAGGTTATTTGTGTATATCAGTGAGTTTTTGTGTCAGTGAACTTGTTTGTCTTTGAGCCTGTTTATCAGTGAGCTTGTGTGCTTACTGTATACCTGTATAGTATATATCTATATGACTTATAGGGATGCCATACAATTTTTTCCAGGGGTGCTTTGTATTCTTAGTTTGGCCCTGCCAGTGAGTGTGCTTTGCCGCCGAATCACCTGTGTGACCTGTCGCACACTTAAGCCTGCATTGCCCAGCCCTGTTACACGCATCTGGGAGCTGCTGTTGACAGGTACTAGTAGTCTAGCGATTGGGACATGGGTATATGCTCAGCTATCTGATTAATACAATTATGCTGGTCTCTGTATAATACAAGTCTGTGTATAATATCCTGGGACAGTCATTGCTCCCTGTATAATACAGGTCTCTGTGTGTAATATCCTGGGACAGCCAGTGCTCCCTGTATAGTGCTGGTCTGTTTATAATATCCTGGGACAGTCAGTGCTCCCTGTATAGTGCTGCTCTCTGTAAGTGCAAGTCTGTGTGTATAATATCCTCAGCCAGTCAGCTCTGTGTATAATACCGGCCTGTGTATAATATCCAGGGACAGTCAGTGCTCCCTGTATAGTGCTGCTCTCTGTATAATACAGGTTTGTGTGTGTAATATCCCAGGACAGTCAGTGCTCCCTATATAGTGCTGCTCTCTGTATAATACCCGCAGACTCATGGAACTAGAAGAATCAGAAGCAGTGGAATGGTGACTGAAGGCTCAATCTAAGACATTCAACATGTTGAATTGATGGCATGTAAAGGGGCTAATGGAATATGTGCATATGTTTTCCTTTTTCTCAAATATTTCTCATTAATTTCATTCTGTAAATTATCCTTCTATATCTTTCATTTCCTATTTTCAGCTATTTTTTTTTTTTTACTATATTCACTCCCCAATATAATTATTTTTGTGAACTAATGTATGTTCTATGGTGTAGACACAGCTCTCTGACTGAAGCACATCTGTACAATGTCTTTCTATATTTGTACTGACAGTGTCACCACTGATACCCAACTCACCTAAAAATGATAAAATGTACCTTCCTGATATAGATGTTCTGCTGCAAATGTATGTATCGCATACCAAGTATGCATGGTACTGTTGGTGGGAACCTGGTGTTATAAAGTAAAGATATTAATCCTGGGATAGGTCAAAGAAAATCTTCTGCCAGCCAAAGGCCATATAACCATATCCCCTAGTTAAAGAGGGATCACCTGGTTGCACTAGTATAGCAGGGGGTAACCCTAATTGCTAGAAAAAGAAAGAGAACAATATCCAAGACATCAACTCCAAATGGAGGTAGGTGTATAGGAATTAGTACAACCTAAAGTAGATTAGTAGCAAAAAGCCCAAAAATATACATACATAAAAATTCTTTATTAATCCTTAAAGCATAGAGCTATCATCTCTAATAAGGGGTCCTAAATAGGACCAAAATTTCTACATACCAGCTATTAGGGAATCAACCCTAGGAGACAGATGAAGCGTTCCACTATTAGGCAGAACCTAATGAGAGGTGATAGGGGACACAAGGAGGGGGATAGTCTGTATCTCTTTCAAAAATGAAGAAAAAACTCCTAGACGCCAGCCAATTGGAGGTTAATAAATTGATATCAGAGAAAAACAGAACTCCCCAAACCAGCGTTTCCCAATTGGTGTTCTGCGGAACACAAATTGGGGTTCCGATAAAAAATTTAAAGACAAAATGGCCGTGGGCGGCAAGGGAGCAGGGAGCTCTGATCTCCCTGTTCAGCTCCCTTGCGCGTACAGCAGTGATACCGGAGCCAGAATATGACATAACTCCGGCTCCGGCATCACTAAGAGGCACGCGAGGGAGCTGAGCCCCACTGGACCATAGGGACTTCATGCCAGCAGCCACACTGGCCCCCAGGGACTCCATGCCAGCACTCCTAAAGGTAGGGGGGGCTGGGTGGAGTAAAATGTAAAAAAAAAAAAAAAATTGTATGTGTGTCTGTTAGGGAGTTTGTATGTGTTTGCCAGTGAGTGTGTGGGTGTATATGTCTGTCAGTGAGAATGTATCTGTTCTTGTCAATGAGAGTGTATACATAGGCGTGCGCAGCCTATTGCATTAGGGTGTGCACCCTAAAGCACAAATAAACGCCATATATATACACACACACACACACACACACACTACTGTGTGTGCTGTTAGTGTGCTGTGTGCTGTTAGTGTGATGTGTGTGTGAGGGTGCGTGTTTGTGACTGTTTGTGACTGTGCTGTTTGTGTGTGACGGTGTTTGTGTGTATGTTTGTCCTGTGAGGGTGCTGTTTGTGAGGGTGCTGTTAGTGTGTGAGGGTGTGTTTGTGAGGGTGCGGTTAGTGTACTGTGTGTGAGCTGTATGTGTGTAGGTGCTGTATGTGTGTGTGCTGTATGTTTGGAGGGATTTAGCAGATTAGTAAATCCTTGCTGCCATGTGCCATCCCTGGTGGTCCAGTGGAGAGTGAACTCTAGCCTGCGAGAGGAACCTGGCGGAGCTTCTGTCTAGAGCTCCCTGGGTCCTCTCCTGCCTCCCTCCATGCTGCTGTGGGCCGGTGAGGTAGATCTCCCCACCGGCCCATGAAGGCTTAGAGCAGAGCCGGCACTCAGATAGCGCCGGCTCTGCGTGTGTGTGTATGTATATGTATATATATATATATATGTATATATATATGATATATACGTACACACACACATACTCACTGACACACACACACACATACTCACAGACACACACACAGACACACTCACACACAAATTATTATATTTTAATTTTAAAAAAAAATGTCCACCCAGCCTCCTACCTGGAGTGCTGGTGGACTTGTCCCTGGGGTCCAGTGGGGGCGGGCACCTCTCTGCAGCTCAGCCGCGGCGAGGGAGCTCTCTGCTGTCTGCTTCCTCTCGCCGCGCGGGCTGTCTGCTGGAGCAGGGAGCCGGAATATGACGTCATATTCCGGCTCCCGGCATCAGCGCGCGGCGAGAGGGAGCAGAGAGCTCCCTCGCCGCGGCTGAGCTGCAGGGGGGGTAATCCATCACCTCTTGCCCTCCCCCCAATGACAGGGGCAAGAGGTGAGACGGGGGGTGCTGAGTGCCTGCAGGAACAGCGTTCCTGCTCAAAAAAAGTGCATGAACGCTGTTCCTGCAGGACTCAAACCATAGGCGTGCCACGGGGATTAGGGTGTGCCCAGGCACACCCGGCACACCCCGTGCGCACGCCTATGAGTGTATATGTGTTTGTGTGTGTTTGTCAGTAAGAGTGTGTCTGTCAAAGAGTGTGTGTATGTGCCTGTGTGTGTGTATCCTGTCAGTGTGTATTTATGGGTGCAAGTGTGTGTATGTCACGGTGTGTATCTGAGTGTGTGTGTGTATATTTGTGAGTCAAGATGTGTGTGTCAGTGTGTATCTGAGTGTATGTATCTGTGTGTAAAGGTGTGTGTCAGTGTGTATCTATGTGCCAATGTGTGTGTATATCTGTGTGTCAGATACATATACACACTGACACAGAGATACACACACTGGCGCATACAAACACAGATATACACAAACCGTCACTTACAAACACAGATACAAACAAAAATACACACACATACACACGGTGTG